CCGATTCAGGGGGACAAACTGCGATTGTAGGTACCAGGATCAAAAGTACCACCAGACCCAGAGTACAACTGTTTAGAAGAAGGACAACGATATTATTTGCTAACTATATCTAACAGATCAGCCACAAGGCATGACGTGCTATATTAGAATGATGCTCCCTGCTATATTATATTTATGATTGATTTTGTGAACACCATCCCAGCCAACTAAAATCTAGAAAAACAAATTTTTTTTTTGTTATAGTAAGTGTGCACCCGGTATGACACACAAATGCAATGCAACATTTTAGTGTATTTCAAGTCCTTTGCCGACGCATGGTGCACTGCACATCATAAGTGTAATAGTCACCTATACATAATGTTATGAGAAAGCCATGTGTCATTAGAACGCATAGTGCTCTTGTTTACATATATAGACTAACAGTCAAAGTTGTCCTGACTGTAACTCTTGCCGAAGAGTAGTAAGTGGACAACAGAGCGCGCGGGTGTCACAGTTGCCCCTGGGAAACCGACACTGATATTCTGGCAGACGCAAGTAGTGTGAGAGTGACAAATCGCGTCCTCAAGATCGAGCATCCTTAGATCATCAAACGTAGGTCAGAGCGTTTCCGCTCTCTGTTTTTTCATTGGAAATGAATGTGACCGGTTGCGCTAAGTCATAAGGTTATTGCTGATGTATAGTGTAAGTTGAGAAGAGGGAAGCCTACACACAAGAGAGAGAGAGAGAGAATAGATTGGGGGGAAAAAGGAGGCAAAGGAAGTAAGCGTAAGGAACGGGGAGGGGGAAGAATGGTGCAGTTAACGTTTTCACGGTAGCCTTCTGGCTTAAAGTACTTATAAGGACTGCCTGGCATTTGATGTAAGTGCTGCTTTACGTAAATTTTATGTGGACGGTACAAGCGTATGGTGAACATGGATGAATATTTAAGTGTGCTTGGGCACTGTTCAAATAGGCATGCCTGCATGGCTGCCTGCACGATACATTTTAGTTTAAGGCTACACACATATGTATCAATCTGTTTGGCTTACTTATTGGCTGGGCAGCTGTCATTGTCGACGCTAAAGGCGGGCCAATCGTATATCCTGTCCACGTGAACCAATGGCCAGTTGGTTCCGATTGCTCAAAAGAAGGATGTACTCCCTGTCTAGAAGCCAAACATAATTACCCTGCGAGAAAAGTTGATTATGCCGCTAGATAACCATTCTCACACAGTAGTGTCTCAGCCTATATGTTAGGCAGGTTGCCTCAAACATTAAACCGTAGTTTGCGACTTTTCCTTTAGGTCAGTTTTGTCCATCCAATACATGTCCACCACACAGCATGATAATAATTGATAAATCAACATGATTTCCCCATCTTTGGTGCTGTGATAATGATAAGGGCATCGAGAAGTCCCCAGCGGGGGACGACTTTCACGGGTGACACAAATATGTGCGGAAGAGAAGGACAAGCTTAGGCCAGGCATTTCTACAAGAAGCCGAGCCCTTATTAAGGCCGCACCCGCACCCCTAGTCCATTCCAACTTTGGCAAAGTTTAAGTCAGACAGAGACGCACGCCGGGCACCATTGTCTCAAGCCCGCTGAGCAAAACATCGATTTCAGAGGTCCTAAAACTTTAAGTGGAGCACGGAGAACTGTGTTATGGGATTTGTAAGCTCCAGAGCTGGAGTTGCATAGGATCACCAGCTAAGTAGTTGAGTTACCAGACCGTAGCCTTTTAACAGCTTCGTGAAACCTAATGTTCTTTACAGGAATTATGCAGGTTGTGTGTTTTTGTAAGTATAGGGGGGGTACCGTATCCTTCATCAACATCCGCATGATCAAATTGAGCAGTACTACCAAAACCACACTCTCCCATCAGCGACCGCGGCCAGAGATAGTGTGTGCAGGGGGACTTCATGGCTGTTCCGCCAAAGTAATCTCGTGGTGCGTCTATGGAGTGAGGGAAACTTCTGCTTTGGGACTGTTGCTGGCCTGTGGACATTAGACTTAAAGGAAGGACATCGATTCACGGGAGTGGATGGTGACAGGAATGCAAATGGTGCTCCATGAGTCAAATCTTTGATGAGAGAGATGCAGTATAAGAGTACGATATTGCACCCCCTTTACTCTTGTAATGCAATAGCTAACAATATACGAGTGCTGTCCGCTAGAGAGCGTGTGTCATCACTGGTGTATATACAATATACTTTTGGGACAAAGCTTATGCAGGTACGTAAGAAGCAAAAGATTTGAAGTTGTGTCGAGGATGGATGTACATAGTCAAACACTTTGCACAGAAGGAATTAAAAATGAGCTGAGGTAAAGACTACTTACAGTAACTGATTAAGACCAAAAGCACTTAGGTGTAAACCCTTGGGTGAACTGCGCATGCGTGGTACCGCTAATTGATTGGCTGGGAAATGTGAGCTGGTGAAGAGTCTGACACGGGCTAGCTACACTAGTAGATAGCATGAGAGGGTGGATACACGTCATTAGTTGTGACTTCTTGTGCCTCCAGGGTGCAAAGAGTGAGCGTATCAGATTGAGGTAAACCCAGTGCGATTTTGCATACTGGCCTTATCACGGCATATCTCACGAACGTATAGTTGTTGCAGAAAATTGCCATGTTATTTTTCAGGCTCACGTACTCAGGTGGACTAAGGCACGGGTCCACAAATATGCACAGATATAGCACATGAAACTTTGGTTTGCTTTTATCATTTATAGTCACACCTTGGATTATAGCAAAGGGTTCCATTTGGAAGTGCAATTGTTTTTTGGTAGTATGACCTTATTTTTTCATATTGAAAGCTATCGTGCAAACAGAGAGCGGGTGATGAAAGAATCACTTTCAGAATGCATATTACCTTGTCTACACCCCTCTAAACGTTCTTTGTTTGAGTTGATTTTTGATTTGCAAGTCCATATTTCCACTCTAACATAGAATCTAAATGCGCCTTGAGTTTACGGACCACTGTTCAGGGTTTGCGAGGTAAAATGTACGTTTACGCGTGCATTTTCGGTAAAAATAGAGGAAAAAACGAACGATTAAGGAAATACTGAAGTTTGCTATGCCAAGGCGCACTAAGATCCATTAAAACCTATCTTTCTGCCAGCATAATATGGCAAAATAAGTAGAAAAAAGGCTCGTCTTCAGGGGTGTAGAATTGCAGATTGTCCGTATCCTCCGTTCGTGCGGCCATCATGCGGCTATTTGCAATAACGCATGCGCAGCCAGAATAACGCACCCGTGATTTAGTGCCAGCTAGCTAGCTGCAGCGACCTGCTGGCTAGCTCGCAGAGTGAATGCAGAGCCGTGGCCCCGACTACTTACCTTCGCGCACAGGGGCACACGTAAGCTGCGGTCACACCCTTCCTAGCCACAAACCACTTGATAATACTGTTTACACAACACAATACAGGAATGCACTAAATTCCAGAGACTGCCACGAGTCTTGGCTCACGAATGGAGCGTCACTACCACCACAGGAACCTACGGAACACAGTAGACACGATTGTTGACCTAGCTATTATAGGCCAACGCCGCTCTTGTGAAATGTACGTGCGTCTTGAGTTGAGGTGGCAATAGTCTCGCGTATAATAATATAATAGCCAGCCCCTCAGCGAGACTACGCGGTGAAAGACGGATTAGCAAACGCAGAATCGACAGTGGTCGGTCCGCCAGTGGAGACACAAACCGTGAACCGCTAGCGTTTTGAGGAAATTACGTCATAATAATAAGGTCGGCGCGCGCTTACAACGCGGCGCGCGCAAAATTTTTGGACCCGTGCCTTAGTTCGCCTGAGTAGTCTGAAGCCATTGGTAATGCTCATTGGCCGCCTCGTAGCCTGTAGTGCCAAAATAGCTATATAGCGGACAGACAAACGGACAAAACAGACAGACAGACAAACAGACAGACCAAGTTCCATTACCCTCACTGTGCATGCACACCAAGGGTTAAAAGTAATTATGGCTAGTATATATTAACCTGCTGTCACATCCACGTAGAAATCAGTGGCAATTCCGTGGTCTAAGGAGAGGGTGATCATCAGGGGAATATTTTCCTGAGTGGTGTATACCGACTGACTGAACTCACAGTCACACCTGGAGAATTTAACAAAAATACTGTGACAAATGGAAGTACACTGCACTTTCTGATGCATGGTCTGCAGGTTTGGAAAGGAACATCATTAGTCTCACAATTGAGCATTCTTTGTTTTCACTCACGTTCTGATCGCTAAAGTTTTCCGTGGTTAAGTTTGTACTTCTAGATCGGAAAAGAGTTTCAATTCGAGGGTGTTGCATGTTTCATGCACAATAAATACAGGAGTATTGGGTACCTGAGTGGCTTAACATAAATCCATGGAAATCGGGAGAGTTAGCGAGTACCACTGGCTTACACTCCTGCTTTTGCAAAATGCATTGAGCAACACTTACCATCATTATCAACAATTGTCATGTTTGCTTCGGCAAATGTCTGCGGGTCTGTTTGGCTCTGTCCACCGACATTGATTCTGTCCTGAAACTCTTCCAGAGGAAGTAGACCGAGTCGGAATGTGCGGTCGTCTTGCAAAGCTATCTCATCGTCAGGATTACTGATCATGGGAAACAGTACGCCTTGCTCTCCAGCCATGACTGTCAGCATCTGCTGAGGCGCACCCTCTGTACAGGAATAACACAGCAGCAATACCAGGTGCCTATGCACACAGGACTTCGAGAGGTTCATATAAGTGAGGCCAGTGCTCGTTTGATCACAAGGATGAATAGCAACATAGGGTGCTTGGTTGAAAACAAGCTATCTATCTATGGAATTGTCATAAGGTGCCATACTATGGCATAAACAAATCGTTCTCACAGCCAGAAAGAGCAAGAACACTCATGCCAGTGGTGTGTTCAGAAATTAGGTAGGGGGATGCTCATCGCGCGCAGAGCGCATGCGCATGCGACAACCGGGCGTGGAGCACGTGCGGTGTGTGCAGGCGCAGTATATGCAAGCTGTCCTTTGAACTCCTTCGTGAAAGCGTTTCTTCCTAGTTCGCGGAGGTCTTGATTGGCTTGTGAGGCTGCTAGCAGCCTGTAGCGAGAAATACATGTATTTAAAAGGAAATGATGGCTGCATATGCTGCCTATAAGAGCTTTTGCTGAATGCAGCAACGCACACTGCCAGTTTTAATTATAATTATGCAGAGCGGAGGCCAGGGGGGTGCTCGAGCACCCTAAGCACCCCCCTGGACATGCCGCTGATTATTGTAATAGGAGGGATTTCCAACCTTGGATAAAGAAGAGTGAGAAATCTCTGATGCTTTCTCCATTGACCTGTACTCTGACCCCTGTCATATTTCCCTCCTCAAGAATATATTCACTAGAGTCAAACCCAACCTGAACAACTGTAGCTATAGGTAGAGGGAGGTACTGTAAAACATTAGCAATGAAAAGCACTAAAGTACAAAACCCTCGGGGGCGTGGAACCAAGTATGTGGTTTGGGCTATGTGTCACATGCATGGATTCCACGCCGCCGAGTACTGTTGTGTCACACTGCGGACATCTTCAGGCGTCTATCGCACTCTCCATCTGTCAACCTCCTCTGCCTACAACGCTCGGAATGTAGACGAGTGCTGATTGCCAGCTCTGTAGAGTAAGCATGGACTCTGATGTGACTATATAACTAGATTACTATCTTACGTGAGATTACCCATTGTGATGTAATCATCTCTGGCCACGTGTATGTTTGGGATCAGTATGTTACATGGCGCTGAAAACGGACTGAAGAGCGCATCCCATCGCCCGGATCCGACCATGTCCTACGCGTTTCGACCCGGAGACCTGCCTAAACTCGACCTACAAGTCGACAGGGGAGCTGACTTCAAGGCATGGAAGTCACAATGGGAGGCTTACCTCAGCCTCTCGGGCAAGGGGCCGCCAAACAGGTACAAGCACTAACCCTCTGTCTCTCTTGCGAAACTGTGACAATCGTCGAGAACCTTGGCCTCAGTGATGACCAACGAGGCAACGTGGCAGAGATCGTCGCGGTAATTCAACGTTACGTGGGAGGGCCACATCAACGAGTCTGTGGAGAGACGCACGTTCCGCGGCCGCGTACAGCAGCCCGGAGAAACTTTCGACGACTTCCTCGTCAGTCTTGGGAGTTGGCTAAGACCTGCAAGTTCTGCTTGGAAAACTGCACCCAAAAGAACATTAGGGATCAGATCATCGAAGGCCTCCTAGACGGAGACACCATCGAACACCTCCTTCAAGAGAACGACCTCACTCTGGACAAAGCCATCAACACTTGTCCCGCTCAGGAGGCCGCTAAAAATACAACGAGCAGAGATGACCAACACCCACACGAACGTCCAAACCCTCCGGAGACAACCCACCTCTCCAAGACCCCACCCGAGTAGGTCCTGCCCCCTGGCTGTCGTTCCGGCCTCCATGAAGGGGGTCGCCAATGCTGCCCCGCCTTCAACGCTACGTGCCACCTATGTAAGAAGGTGGGCCACTTTGGAAGAATTTGTAGAGGACGGAGGCCACCCAACCACAGAATCCCCTCACCCCTTCCACTTCTCCCACCATCACCCCACCAGGGGCACGCGTCATCTCCGCCACGCCACTCATGGCATCTACCAAACTCCGCCCTCCACTCACCTTTGAACCGGCCCCTACCATTAAGGTCCACATGTCATCCCTCAACGGAAAGGCAACAGTGGAGGCTCTGCCTGACTCAGGGGCGGACATCTGCGTCGCTGGTACAGCCCTCTTACAGCAACTCCACGAACACCCCGACAACCTCCTACCATCGACCATCACTCCCCGAGCCGTCAACGGAACCACCATGAACCCCATCGGGAAACTTCCTGTCGCGCTCTCCCATGCCTATACCGACGATTTCCACATTTACCCCAATGTCACCGGGACACTACTATCCTGGAAGGGTGCCAAGGGACTGACCATTCTTCCCGAGCACTACCCCAACCCCCCACCAACTACCACCCAGCCGCGCCTTGCCGCCACCACCGTCAACAAACCACTTCTTACATTTGACATCAGGCGTGAGTTCCCATCTGTCTTTGATGGACAGGTTAAGACCATGGATGGTGAGAAATTCCACATAACACTGACGGAAGATGCCCGGCCATTCTGCGTCAACACACCAAAAGCAATCCCATTCGCCTTCCGCGACAAGCTGAAAGCCGAGTTGGACCTCCAACAGGACCAGGGGGATCATCACACCCGTCACAGAACCGACAGAGTGGTGTGCACCCATAGTTGTCACCCCCAAGAAAGGCACCGATAAGATCAGAATGTGTGTTGACCTCTCCCGCCTGAACAGGTTCGTAAAACGCGAAAAGGTACAAGTCAGCCACCCCCGCTCAAGCCGTCGCAGACATCACAGCAGAAAGTGCTAAGATTTTCACCAAGCTCGACGCCCTAAAGGGTACCACCAATGTCCACTAGACGAAGACAGTCAGCTCCTAACCACCTTCATCACCCCCTTTGGAAGGTTCAAATACCTCCGTGCCCCCTACGGCATATCATCCATTTCCGAGCATTACAACCGCAGGATGGACGAAGCCTTCGCTGGCCTCACGGGTTACCGTCGCGTCGTCGACGACGTCGTCATCTACGACAGCGACCCAACACAACACATGAACCACGTTCGTCAGTTCTTGCAACGATGCGCCGAGCGACACATCACCCTCAACACCGATAAATGGGAGTTCGCCCAACCACAAGTCACCTTTGCTGGCTTCGCACTATCAGCACAAGGCTACAGTGTTGACAAGTCCATCACCGACGCGATTTCCAGCTTCCCCACCCCAACCAACCGCACAGACCTCCGTGTATTCTGCGCCTCGCTAACCAACTCTCAGCAAGCACGGCCGCCCTCGCCAACCTGTTAGCCCCCTTGCGGCCACTACTCAGCACAAAAAACGAGTTCATGTGGTCCCCGGACATCGAGAAAGCATTCTGCACTGCCAAGCAGGCCCTCACATCCGCCCCCACTGTCTCCTATTTCGACCTCAACAAACCCACTCGCCTTTGCACCGACGCCAGCTGTCAGGGACTCGGGTTCGTATTGCAACGCCCTCATCCAGGCTGGCTCCAGATTTCTCTCCGACGCGGAGTCCAGGTATGCCATCATTGAGTTGGAGCTCCTAGCTGTGTCATGGGCCATCACCAAATGCAAGCTGTTCCTCGCGGGCCTTCCTCACTTCACCGTCGTCACCGACCATCACCCTCTCATACCGATCCTCAACAGTCACCGGCTTGACGAAATAGAGAACCCACGCCTCCAGCGCCTCAAAAACAGGATCATGGCCTACAACTGCACGGCTCAATGGGTCAAAGGCATTCTGAACAATGCCCCAGACGCTCTCTCTCGGAACCCTGTCTCCAATCCCGTACCACATGAGCTGATGGCAGAGTACGACCCGCAAAACAATCCCGAGTCATCCATCGCTGAGATACGAGCTGCGTCCGCAAGCAACCTCAGCAATCTCCGCCTACAAGACCTCCACTGGAGTATCAACAAATCCAGCACTACATTCGTAACGGCTTCCCAGACCACCGCCACCAACTCCCTGAACAGTGTCGGCGCTACTGGAACGTCCGGAGCCAACTAGCTCTGGATGACGGCGTCGTCGTCTATGGCTGCCGCTTGTTAATCCCATCCGCAATGCGCCCCCAGGTCTTACAAGAGCTCCACGCATCACACCAAGGAACCACCCGTACAAAACTGCGCGCCAAACTCATCGTATATTGGCCTGGAATCAACAACGACATCGAAAACGTCATCCTGTCATGCAAGCAATGCCAAGACCACCTACCATCGCTGCCGAAGGAGCCAATTATCACGAAGCCAAGACCATCCAGACCGTTTCAAGAAATTGCAGTGGACTTCTGTTCGTATGCAGGGCAAAACTTCCTCATCATCGTCGACTGCCACACCGACTGGCCTGACATCATCCACATGGGTCACAACACTACAGCCCCTCAACTCACCGCTTCCCTCCTCAACGCATTTTGTCGCACAGGAGCACCAGACGTAGTCTGGTCGGACCAAGGCCCCCAGTTCACATCCAAGATCTTCAAAGATTTCTCCAAAGAATGGGGATTTCAACACATCACCTCCTCCCCAATGTACCCACAGAGCAACGGGAAGGCTGATGCCACAGTCAAATCTATGAAGAAACTAATCCGAGCAGCATGGAAACGTGACAGCCTCGATGACCGGAAACTCGCTCGAGCTCTGCTCCAGTACCGTAACACGCCTTCTCAGCGGGATCACCTCTCAACAGCACAGAAGCTTTTTGGACACCCCATACAAGACACACTTCCCGCCCATCGTCGAGCGTTTGCACCACAATGGCAGACAAGCGCAGAAGAGGCCGAACAACAGACCATACGCAACGCAGAACAGGTAGAACACAACTACAATCAACATGCCCGAGAACTTCCCGAAATCGGAGTAGGCTCCAATGTGGCTATTCAAAACACAGTCACAAAACTGTGGGACATCTACGGCATGGTCACAGCCATCGCCCCACATCGCCGATACTTAGTCAAAGACCGCAAGTGGCCGTGTCCTGGTCAGAAACCGTCGCTACCTACGACGGTGTGTCCCAATAGGGTCACCAGCAGATGCAGTCGGACCACCTTCCACAGTCAATCCCGGGCCCTAGACCTCCACCTCCACCACGACGCTCAACTCGCCAACACACCAGACCAAATCGCCTCATCGAAGAAGTCGCCTTCACATACGGTCGAACGTGAAGGCGCAGAGGGGGAGATGTAGAGTAAGCATGGACTCTGATGTGACTATATAACTAGATTACTATCTTACGTGAGATTACCCATTGTGATGTAATCATCTCTGGCCACGTGTATGTTTGGGATGAGTATGTTACACTCTAAATCTCACTTCTCGAGTGTTTGTTCGTCTCACAAAGGATACGATCTACTTAACGGGCAATGAAGGTCAGAAAATTTGTGGGGTTTTCTCTGAAAATGCTCCGTTGCGAAGCTAGAGCGCTTCCAGCATTGTATGTGTAATGCCTGTAGTCGCCATTTTATCGCTGGCGGATAATGCGCATGCGCTTATAATATTTCACAGGCTTTCCTCAACCGGGTCCGCTTGCTCTGTCTATCTTGAAGGCACAAGAAGTCACAACGAATGGCGTGTATCGACTCTTGCGTGCTATCTACTACTGTAGCTAGCCCGTGTCAGTCTCTCTGCGAGCTACTTCGGGGTTTGCACTTTAGTGCTTTTCATTACCCTCGGCGCGCATGCGCAGTGAGGGTACTGTAGTTGGGTGTGTGTGTGTGTGTGTTAGTCTGTTAATCTACATCTCACTTCTCGAATGTTTGTTCGTCTCACAAACGATATGACCTACTTAACGGGCAATGAAGGTCAGAAAATTTGTGGGGTTTTATCTGAAAATGCTCCGTTGCAAAGCTAGAGCGCTTCCAGCATTGTATGTGTAATGCCTGTAGTCGCCATTTTATCGCTGGCGGATAATGCGCATGCGCTTATAATATTTCACAGGCTTTCCTCAACCGGGTCCGCTTGCTCTGTCTATCTTGAAGGCACAAGAAGTCACAACGAATGGCGTGTATCGACTCTTGCGTGCTATCTACTACTATAGCTAGCCAGTGTCAGACTCTCTGCGAGCTACTTCGGGGTTTGCACTTTAGTGCTTTTCATTGGGTCTGTGTGTCTGTCTGTCTGTTACTCTTCATCTCACTTCTCGAGTGTTCATTCGTCTCACAAAGGATACCACCTACTGAACGAGCAATGAAGGTCAGAAATTCGAACGGTTATCTCTGAAAACGCTCCGTTGCAAAGCTAGAAGCCAATATGCAAATACACAACGGCTTACTACGGCATGATCGATCCGCGTGCTCTGCGTACCTCGGAGGCACCAGAAGATGCAACGCAGGGAGTGTATTGCCTCTCGCATGCTATCTAGTAGTGTAGTTAGCCCGCGTCAGACTCTGCGCGAGCGGGCAAGAGACCGCGAGTAACTAAACCCAGTCCATCAATTAGTGGTATGGCGCATGCGTTTACTTACGTGTGCGCGTCACACAGTGCGCCGAGGGTTTGCATTAACCCTCGGCGCGCATGCGCAGCGAGGTTTACTGTAGTCGTTCTGTGTGTCTGTCTCTGTCTGTCTACGACTATTCTCGCACTATAGGCAACGAGGCGGCTTATGAGCGATACCAACAGCTTTAGCGGTACATGGGCTAGAAAAATTAAATGGCGATTTTGCTGAAACGACTGCGCTCGAGAGCAACAAACTGGCACAGTCGCGGACAGCGTTGCGTGGCCCAACCCATCAATAAGCGGTGCGCATGCGTGTATTAGACGCGATCAACTGGCTCACCTCGACCTGATCCACTTGCTCTGTGTACCTTGGAGGCACAAGAAGCCACAGCGAAAGGTGTGTATCGACTACCGCATGCTATCTACTACTGTAGCTTGCCCGTGTCAGACTCTCTGCGAGCTACTGGCGGGAGACCGTGAGTAAACGGCAATAGCGCATTAGCGGTACCACACATGCGCAGTTCGCCGAGGGTTTGCACTTTAGTGCTTTTCATTTTTAGCTGTACCCACTTGCATAGACAATACCCCACCAATAGTAAGTTATAAATACACTAATACCATTTGCAGGAAAATATTTAAGCATAAGAATGTAGTTTCTGAGAAAAATAGACAAATCCAAAAACTACCATTAAAAAGGACCTTCCTACCGGGAAAAGAATAATAGTGTAATCGGGTCGACGAACGCCGAAGGACTGGTGCTCGCGCAATACGGTTGAGCGCGTTGTTGACTGACAGCAATCTTAGGAACCGAGACTATAATACATTTTACAACATCACTTTTATAGGCTGTGACCATTTGCGCATTGGTGATGATCTGGGCAACAACATACATGACCATTACAGTGGTGTGAACATGACTACAGTAGTCTGGTGCAATAGTGTGTGACACAGCTGTCTGGTGTTGAAGAACCATGTCAGTCTGATGCCATAGTGTGTGCGACAGCTGGGACCTGCTTACATAACTCCCTTATCCAAAAAGAATTCGTCTCGAATTCAGCAGGGGATACCGGGGCGATATCGGTCTGGGGGAGCTCTATTTCGTCTTGGGTAGCGAGGTGCAGGTGGAGGGAGAAGTGGTGGAGGTAGTGGCAGGGGCGCGCCTGCAGCCTTGACTGGAGGTATGATCGAGTCCCTGTTCACTGGCGGTAGGGCTGTACCATCACCGGGCTGAAGTGGTGTATCTGTGTCATCCTCCAGCAGTTCCAGGCCAGCACCCACCGGTGGTCTCTGAGCAGGACGTGGGTTAGCTGAGTATTCTCTCAAGGCTGGTAGCGGCAAACGGGTGTCTGGCGAACATGGCTTCAACCGGTCAAAGTGCACTACACGTCTCTTGCGACGATTTCTTGTGTGTTGAATCCTATAGACCGCTTCAGATAGTCTGCGCACCACCTTGAATGGCCCCGTCCATGGGCAATGAAGTTTCTTAGGTTTCCCTTTTGGTACAGCCGGGCTGTTGAGCCAAACCAGGTCACCTTTGTCAAATGGTTGTCCGTGAACTTTGCGGTCGTAAAATTCTTTCTGGCGTTTCAGTTTTGCTGCAGTAGTAGTTCTGACTTGCTGGTAAGCAGATGTGAGGCTGTCGCGCAGTTCAGCTACATACTTCGGCACAGGTGCTGACGAAACACCAGGGGTCCCGTACATGATATCTACTGGCATCCGTACTTGTCTACCGAACATAAGGAAGAAAGGTGTGTGTCCAGTTGTTGGATTGACACTGGTGTTGTAGGCTAGGCAGAGTCGACGGATGTGGTGCTCCCACTGAGATGGATAGTCACCAACAGATTTCGAGAGCATGTCCAACAGGGTTCGGTTGAATCTTTCAACCAGTCCATCAGACTGTGGGTGGTAGGGTGTGGTACGAGACTTGTTGATTCCCAGCAGCTTGCATGTCTCGGCGATAACAGCAGACTCGAAATTCCTTCCTTGATCAGAGTGGAGTCTCTCTGGTGGTGAAAAGCGACAAAAGAATTCGTCCACTAGCTTCCTCGCCACAGTCGTGGCTTCCTGATTTGGAATTGGGTAAGCCTCGACCCACCGTGTGAAGTAGTCGGCTGCGACTAAAACATACTTGTTTCCCGACGGTGACTCTGGGAAGGGTCCTACCACATCCATAGCCACCAACTGCATAGGATAGCCAGCCACGATACTGGTTAGAGGAGCTTTCCTTGACTTAGGTGATGGAGCCTTCCGAGATGCGCATGAACCACAGTTGCTGCACCAGTCTTTGACATCATTGAAATGCCCTGGCCAATAGAATCGTTCTTTCAGTCGGGCGAGTGTCTTGTCCACACCAAAGTGACCCCCCGCAGCACCCTCATGTAGCTCCGCCAGCACCTCCTTTCGAAGTTTCGAAGGGACGACAACTTGTAAGTTTGAGGTGTGGCCTTGGCGAGACTCGAACTGTCGACATAGGACTTTGTCTGCGACCACCAGTTGTTCCCAGAGCTGGAGAAGTCTTCGGGATGACGGACTTGGGTTTCCGAGCTGGGTAGAGTTCGGCTTTTCACCCATCTCTTTTCCTCTGAGAAGTGGACCCAGAATGGGGTCAGCCAGTTGGACGTCCCTGATGCTGTCACCTATCGCATTTGGAACTGATTGGAGGATAGCAGTGGCCGAGACTACAGCATCTGTTGGTGTGACGTGACTCTCTCGTCCGCACTGCTGGCAAGGTAGCCGGGAAAGTGCATCGGCATTCGTGTGGGCCTTGCCTCGGCGATGAACGATGTCAAAGTCGAGTTCCTCTAGTCGTTCCAGCCAGCGTGCGATCTGGCCCTCTGGATCTCGAAAATTCCGTAACCAGGTAAGAGACCCATGGTCCGTGCGG